AAAGGTTCGACCTTGAAAAATGGCCCGATGTGTCACAACATACATATGGTGTCGGAATTCGTTCAAACTAGGCACATATGCCTAACATGGGCATGTTCACCAGCTTGCAAAAGTTGAGGTCAGTCTTGAGATTTCCAAAAATACAATGTTTAACGAACGGTGTTGATCAGGTAGGCGAGAAGGGTCCGTTTGGGAGCACCTCATTTCTCGACATCTCTTAAATGGCCTCATTTTTTTTCATGGCCTTGTATGGCCAATTCAAAGAACCATGCCAAAGTGTTTAGGTATTCAACAAGTTTTGCATTTTCTACATTTTTCTCCTTATAAAAGTTGATAAATGGCCGGACATGTCACAACTTGCATATGATGTAGAACATCGTTCAAACCGGGCAGGGATTCCTACCATGAGCATGCCCACCTGCTTGCAAAAGTTAGGGTCATTTGAAGGATGTCCAAAAAATAGATCATATGCAATGGATGGTGTTCTGGTAGGCATTTGAAAGCACGTTGATTTCCGACATCCATCAAATGACAATCTAGAATATTTTTTATACTTGTAAACAATATTTGGAAAAAAGAACATTTTTTGGTTTTCAAACAATATTTCAAATATTTAAACATGTTTAAAAAAGAAATATTAAAGTTCAAAAAAGAAAGAGACATGAATAAACGAAAAAAATAGAAATTGTCGTTGTTTCGCATTATATGAACATGAAGTGAATATCATAAGCATATATGGAAGCAGTGTGACTAAAGCAAGATTATGAATATTAGGGAAGCATATTTTGTATCAAATTGACTCACTTTAGATCGAAGCACAGTTCAGTGGCGTCAGAAGTAACAAGGTCGAGTAACACCAGAAGTAAAGTATGCTTCTTGATGGAAAATAATAGAAAATTGATACAACAGTTTGTTTCTGAACAAATAGTTACATTAGACATAAAAGTTTATTCAATGGTAGCAAATTTAACATGTATGGGGAGCTAACTTTAGAAGGAAAGAAACAAAAGTCTATCCAGTACAAAATAAGAGAATATGTCGTAGCTTGATTTGTGGGTCTGATTAGTTTGAGAAACAGAATGACAAGGAAAGCAAGCTGGACCCACGTTCCATTCCAACTAACCGATTTTTGGGATCAATTAATCTATCTATATCTATACCAATATAAAAAGACTCAAATGGGTAGATCCAAACCATCTCGACCGCCAAATCATGTTATCTAGCGGTTCAAATCGCTCCAATGTTGTGCACCAAACAAGTTTAACGCTCTAATTACCCACCACTGCCATTGGTTATAAACACGTTCTGACTCAACGCTATCCTTTGAAATCTGTCATGTAATTAATATCCTACCATTCCTGTGAAAAAGTAATTGATATCTTATCAAATACCAACATGCAACAGATATATCTTACCTAATATAACGTGCAATTAATATCTTACCTTGCATGTACATTATTACTAGTTCTAGGAAGCAGATAAACGGGACCAATTAATTCCTTGATGCAGATTCAAAGGAAACTACGTGAAGAAAGACCCGGCCAGGTCTGATGCAACGCTACCTGAACCATAGCGTGCCTTATATATTTCGTGCTTCTTAACATCATGAGTGGTAGTGTAGCTGAGTGGTAAGAAGCCTAATTAGTAGGACGAGGTTAGGAGTTCAATTCCTCGTGCATGCTTTCTCTCATTTTCTCAGGATTTTTATATCACGCTTTTAATAGTATAAGTGGCCTTGCTCTTGCTGGGCTGGCCCAGTCGTATATAGGGCACGCACAGGAGGTCTCTATACAGATGTACTTTCGAAAAGGACCATCATATCCTTTATTATGAAAGGGTATAGGATAATCTCGGTCATCGATGTGTTTATGAGGGTTAGGTGGTCTTGTCTTCCATTTTTTGTGTTACCTGTCCATAAAAGTTGTATTTCTCTCATTTTCTCAGGATTCTTATATCACGCTTTTAATAGTATAAGTGGCCTTGCCCCTGCTGGGCTGGCCCAGTCGTATGTAGGGCACGCACAGGAGGTCTCTACACAGGTATACTTTCGAAAAGGACCATCCTATCCTTTATTATGAAAGGGTATAGGATAATCTCGGTCGTCGATGTGTTTATGGGGGTTAGGTGGTCTTGTCTTCCATTTCCTGTGTTGCCTGTCCATAAAAGTTGTATTTCGCTTCGAACCTTTTTTCTGTGGAGATTTTTCCTTTAGGCGTGCAACACTTAAATCTTGATTTGATTCTTGGGGTATCACTTGGGTATCACATTCCTCGACAAGGTGACCTTCTCGTTCCTTTTTCAATTGCTCTTCAACTTCCTTAGTGAGGATATCAAGTGCATTATCAAGTAAAATACGACATGGCTGGGAGCTTACTGCTTGAGAGGCCAAGTTGACAAATTTGTGTGTGAGAAATTTGCAGCTAATAATGGCATCCAACATTGGATTCTCAACAACATTCCCTTCCACTTCTATCTTGGATAGTTCCACACTGTGCACCTAGCTAGAGTCCAACGCTTTTCAAGTATAATGTGGTGGCGGTAATTTAATGTTTATCAAATCGAAAACCCTTAGAGCATGGGCACATAGTAATCCAATTCTCTCAAATTGCCCGCAACTACATGTGGCTATTTGTTCCAACGGATTACCAACAATCGTGCGCTCATCTTCAAAAATTTAATCTCTGCAAGTACTTTACTGTTGGCTGCTATAGATCTCACATGCTCTATTTGAAAACTTTCAAATATGCCAGGAGTGTATACATCGCTTGCTTGGACTCACATCGGTGTAGTTATTTTGATTCTAGGTAGTTTCTCTTTTTCTCGTACTCCGAATCCAACTCGTTGTCTCGTTTCCCTTGCACAACCCTTTCAAAATGCTTGAAAAAACGAACAAGGCCAGGGTCTGATTTCAGGTGGAGTTTCAAGTCATTGTTTAGGCTCTCACTTAGTTGTGTGCTTCGCATCCCTAAGGTGAAAGCATCCCTCATATAACATTCAGCCCACTTTTCTATTACTATATACTCTACCTTATTTCCTAGGGTGCAGAAAGCCTCCACAAATGTTTCCTTGTCCTCATACCCGAACACACAAGCACTGAAATCCTTAATAAGAGTTTATATTCTTTAGTGCAATGAGCAGACAAATGTTTGATGGCATTGGCTCCTTCATTGTCCTCCTCACCAGTCTTGTTCAAATTTGTACTGCTCTGGTTTTCCATCGGATGAGCAATGAAGTAGGAGCGCAGCGCCGGCTCGTCGCCACCGTTGTCAGAGAAGAGGCTGGTCAAGGGAATGTGACGAGGGAAGTTCCTGTGACGGGCCCCAGAGGGAGAAGCACGGAGAGCGTTCGGACGGAGCTGCCGGTGCGCGCTCACCTTCTTCTCTTCTGTGTTTTGGCGCCAGAAGACGATACAGAGGCGAATTTTGGCGCAAGAATGGCTGGGTAGATGGGTTGGGCGAGGAACTCCGCTGTTGGGTGAATGGGCCTGGACATTTTTCTGGCCTAGTGCGGCGCTGGGGTCGTCGTAAGGAGCTGGCTCCCACTGACCTTAGAGCATGTCAAACCCTCACTAGCGTTTTAAGGGTCAAAAAAATTGTCTTTTTGTTTATTTTTATGAGTTGAAAAATAGGGGCAAAGATTAGAACCCTCAGACCCAACCCTTATAACAAAATATTCCCCATGAACGATGTTGTCGTTGCGGGCATACCGTCGAGCACCTCGTGCACGACGGGCGGAGGGCGGCGCGAGGGCAGAGGGCGGGGCGGGCGCGGGCGGAGGGCAGTGGCCGGGG